TTTCGGGAGAAGCGCCATTTTCTCTCCCAAAAAAAGAAGAAGAAGAAGAAAAAACCATGTGCGATGGAAACGCACGAGAAAAAGCTTCGTGCGACCGAGCGCGACGCGAGACGAGCCGCCGGGAGAGCTGAGGATAAGTTTGAGTGGAAGAAAGACGCTCGACACAACCACGAAACACACGAGGAAAGGCAGAGTGGCACCGCACTGAATGCACGTATACATAAATATATATATATAAAAGAGAAAACCCCGGCGTCCCCACTGTAAGCTACCCAAACAATGAAATAAGAGAAGACAGTTTACCTGTGTCAGGCAGTACGGGGAGTACATGGTTATTTTTTAGAAAGGAGACTTGGAGAGCTTATTTAAGTTGGATGGAAGCTCGGTATGGTGCTGCATTGCAATCGCTCGCCGTCCTGTTTCTCTCACTCCATGCTGCTGCAGCTTACAGTAACCCCGCCTAGAAAGTGAAAGCTTGCACAAACTTTCAGGGAAAAAACTTTGTCTCCCTCCCCTCTCCTCTCTGCTCTCCTCTTCGCAGGACTTTTATCGCTCCCCTCTTCTATCCTACTGAAAGCCCCCCCCCCCACACACACACACTCTTTCTATTTTTCACGCAGATTGAAGTTCTTCTTAGTAAAATGTTCGGATTTTGCCACAGCATGAATTTTGCTTTTGGGGACTCTGAATCCGCTGTGCACACGCTTCCCCGCGTCTTTAGGTTCGCAATACTGTGCTTTCGAGCTGCGTTTACTGACCCGTGCATTCCATGTTGAGAGCAAATAATTACCAGAGGGCAGATGAGCCGGTCAGTTACACCGACTTGAGAAGGAAACACGTAAATGCATCAGCAGAGTAGATGAAAGTATATAATTTGAGGAATATTGTGAGAGCACCTCTGATTTCACTGACTTTTTAAATATGCGATGGCCAAGCATGCATTCAGTTGCATAAAACCTCTTAACATAATTCTGCTGAAGGTCCTGATCACAGGAATTCTCTCATGCATAAGTTTACATTTGATTGCACACTTAAATTCATTTACAGGCATTCAAATCGATGCGTCATCTCATTGCTGCTGTTAAGTTAAGTCTATTTATTTACTGAACCAGAGTTGACCCAGTCTGAAAAACCCACAACTGTAGCTTGAAAAACCAGTGAAGTGAGTCCAAGCCAAACAGTTACTGTAGCGTTCACTATGAAGTAGAAAACAGCGAAGACAGACGTATAATCACAGTCTTTGAGCGGTATCAAAATACTTCACTGGGGTGTGTGAGGAAAAACACACACACACACACACACATGAACGGTAGTGAGGGGTACACATATCACATAAAAATCATAAAATAACATTTCTTGGAGCAGGTCCCGAGTGTGGTAGAGTGGGAATTTGGGTGGGAGTGAAGTCATTGTGGAAGAAGTGGAGCTGAAATTTTAGGCCTGACGTTAGAGTCCCACAGATTTATGAGGCCTACTGCTTGTGCATTTTTTATTAAATACTGCAAGCCTCTGCAGGCGAAACAAAGAGATCTGGGCTCTGTGTGGCCAATTACTGCACGCGGCCAGATACTCGAGCCAGAGGCGCAGGCGGGGAGGGAGAAAGTGTGTGGTCAGGAGCGCATGTAACGCCACAAAACTGTAACCTCTCGCCCTCGCCGTCGCACAAGGTTAGAATGCCAGCATTCCTTTTCTGTGAATAGGATACATGACTAATGTGAACCACACACGCCCTACAACACATTCACACACAACTTTTGGTTTCCCTTTGGGCAGGTGTATTAACTTCATAACCTGCCTGCAACATGTGCGCAAATCTCTTTGTTTTCAGCTCGCTTTGGTAGCCGAGTGCAAAAGGTTACAGCCTCTGCTCTCTCCGTCCTTTATGGAGCCGACTTGCATGCTCCGCACGCAAACACTCCTCTGCCGTCGCTCCTTAAACGAGCCACACATTTAGTGGTCTGTGTGAGTAAATCTCTCATTAAGTAACACATGGTAGAGCCATATGCTATGGTTGGTGGGTCTGCCGCGGCTCTGCTTTTTCACACGCTTCGCATATACATATTTACCACTGTTCCAGAGTGGCCAGCGCTGTTAGTGACTTCACCCACCAGCTTGGTGCTGTTGTGCAGTCGCACCAGAACTGAGGATTTTATTAAGAAAGTGTCACAGAAGTGAGCAGTAACGATCTCGCAGCCGCTGTGGCCGTGTATCGCGGGGAGGCTTTAGGCTGTGGGTGTGCAAAACAGGCTGTATGAGGATGAAAGTAACCACAAATTTGACGGAGACCCGTGCGCACAGTATTACAGCCGGTGTTGATACCACAACTGTCTATAGGTGGCAACACAGCGGAGCGGAGATAAGTAAGTGTGGTTGCAATGTCTGGCAGAGCAGATGTCATCTCTAGCAGCGCGTCGTTTACATACACTGCACATGCGAGGCTTTGCTTGAAGTAGTTGTTCCCAACCAGGTGGAATCGCCTGTAAACACATCCCTCTCACCAAAGTCACCCTCTAACTTAAGTTCCAAAAGATGCCTCCTTTAATTAATTAAAAAAACAAAACAAAAACACGAGCAGTGCATGAATACACTTTCTAGCAATCTTTTATTTTCTGTTTGTCTAGTTTCACGCACAGACATGTAAGCAAATAGTTTAAACTAAATATCAAAATTTGGGGGGGATTTCAAAATCTTTTCATTGGCTGTTAGTCACATTGGATAAACATCACTTCTGATCGATTTTAGAAAAATTCAGACATGTTATATTGGCAACATATTATAAAAAGACAAAATATTACAAGTTTCCCTTGCTTTAAAAGTATGGAGTAAGCCAGTTCCAGTGAGTAAATTTAAGGTGGTTGCAATTATTTGTTTGAACTGTGAACAAGGAATTGAGCACACGACCCGCTTAATACAGTTAGTACATCTTAGTTTAGCTCCATTCACATGAAAACCACTCATAAAATGTGGATTATTAAAAGGCTGCTATAAATGTTTACAAGGTTTACACATATTATTAACCACAAAACTGTGTTTTATGTCACATTCTAGTGGCTCATGCAAATACAGTAATACATCTGAGTGACAACCCTTAACATGATCACTGTTGCTAGCTAAAATTTGAAGATGACCCACTGTGTCTTGCTTATTTTCTGTCATTTGCACTGCATTGTTACAGAGGTGGATGCTCATATTAAACTTGACCACGAGGTCAACTTGTGTAGAAGTAATCTGTGTGAGCCCAAAGAGCAACGCAAATGTTTTTTTCTACTCTTGGCTCTGTATTACGCCAAGGAGAAGCCCCACCCACTTGATGTTCTTTGTTTGGGAGGGGTAGCCAATGAGATTGAAGTTAGCATAAAAGGAGGGTGTTTTTCAAACGAAGAGCTGCTAAAACAGCTTGTTTTAGACAGTGACTGGAAGATAAAGACGAATCATTTAGACTCTCAAAAAGCTCAGTCATGCAAGGATAGTCTAGTAGAGTGGAAGAATAAAAAATACAGAGCTGGAAATGACCAAAATAGGTCCCCCTTAACACGGTCCTTGGCCACCCAGGTATGGAAACCACATTATTCAACCTCAGCATTGGAGGTCTAAACACAACAGATAAAACTGTGACCACGGCACTGCTGAAATGAATTGTTTGAACTTAAACATTAATAGACTCACTAGCCTTTTCTTAGAAAAGCTGTTACCAAGAAAAGCCAGGTTACAAATGATTAAAAAGAAAAACAATTATGTGGAAAATTCAGTGTCAGCTAGTAAAGTTAAAATACCCCAAAATAAAAAAATAAAAAGTAAGCAAGGTTACCTTTTGCATTTATGGTGTAATGCAAATTCTGTTCTATATTAATTATTCACTGGCTGCAAAATTCTGGGACGTTATTGTGTTTAAATTTCCATTTTTTCCGTGTTTATTTTCCTTTTTCTGTTATTTTTGTGACAAATAGGAAATCACCATTGCAAATGTTTGAGTGATGTGACAGATCATAGATATCCTCTTTCCCCCACTTCTTTTCTTTTCTTTGCAGATCAACGGGGCTGAAGGGGGAAGTGAAATGTACACTGATACTGATGTATCAGAAATAAGCATCCAGGACGATCCTAACGTTATCAGTACAGGTTGTTATAGTTTGCATAACATTATTGTACAAAATGCTCAGGACGACAATGAATGGAGTCGTGACGCACTTTGCACAACACCGAGCCCCCTACATTAGACCTCCCGGCGAGAAGCTGGAGGTCAACGCTCTCCTGTGGACGCTCTCCTGGGGACGCTCTCCTGTGGACGCTCTTGAACTCGCTGCCCCCCGGAATCCAATCCAGCCACAGTGACACCCTCCCCCTCAACCCCTGTCTCCCAAAACTCTCTTTAGACGGCCGTGCTACCCACTCCTGGCCATAGCACTTCATTTCTTTACCCGGAGACATACAATATAGTGTAGCAACCCAGATTCTCTGAGAGACTTGGCATAAGACTTAACTCTGGGAAACAAAGCCTGTAGCCTAGAAAACTGGCTCCCACCTCATTAATGATCACATTTTCAGTCATACACAGGACCCCCCGCCCCACGCCATCCCGACTCCTCTGCTTTTATTACCATTTTATATCATGCCGATTGCTGTAAATCTCACGGCTTCTTTTTTTAGAAATGCTGCTCACTTTTCTCTTACTTTGTAGTTCTTTTTCGTTTTATACATCTAGGCATGCTTCACATTATCGTCGTAATTTGCACTCCCGTGAGACGAGGGCGCTTCGGTGAAGTTGCAAAGGCTTCTTTTTCTTTCCCCCCCTTTTTTTTCTTAAATGTGCGTGTGGAAATAATAATTGTAATGGTTTGCAGCTGAGTGGAGGGAGCTGTGAATGACATTATGATTGCGGTGCAATTACCAAGAGCATGAAAACGGACTGTCAGTCAGAATAATGAGTAATGACTCCAATAACACATTTAATACCGACACATGAAATAATAATAACAATAATAATAATAATAGATGCATACCCTGTATGAATCTGATACTACAAAGCATTCAGGCATCCCAGGACCTCTGGAGGGTTCTTCGTTCAACAGAAAGGTTTCGGTTGCCTGAAATGTAACACAGTGATTCATTAGTTGGTTCTGTATTTAGGATCAGGGAATTTAAAACACACAGAAAAGCTGGTCGCAAAGCTGCAAAAGCAGATTTTGTATGTGAAAATCCTCCTCATCCTGCTGCTCGACCTATTTCATCATCCTCCTCAAGTCCCACCACCAGATAACTACTCAAGATCGGCGTCTTTACACTCTGCACACACGCGCACGATCGTGTGCACTGCCTGCCTGCGCCCATATGCTGTGCAGGCCCGAGGCCCAGCCCTGCCAGTCACTGCCACTTCAATGGGGAGCAAAGTGTTTAGCTGCCGTACCCGCACACAATACTCCGGCACAATGGCATTTCCTGTCCCTGCTATTTCACCTGCATGGTCACTTTTCTGTCAGCCTGCTCTGATTCAGCACAAATCATTCACACACAAACACACACTCACACACACAGCCGCATACAGTAATACACATGTTTGGCAAAGACTCGCACATACAGAGGCCATACGTCTGCCTCCACGGAGACAAAAACAGGCCACTCAAAAGGCCCTGCCCTGCATCCGCTGATAGATGCAGCTAAAGTGTTTATCCCAAGTGTTTGTTTCTATTCAGTGCAGTTCATTTGTATGCTGAGGGACGCGTCAGCCGAGACTTGGGCTCTGAATGAGCATCCATTGCAGTTCTGCTGTCAATTGAGGCAGCCAGGCCAGACAACATAGATGGGAGGAAACCACAGACTGAGGAGCTGGATATGGGAATGGGAGTTCTGCCTGCTTTGCTAGCCTGTGGCTATTACTTTTTAGTCCTAACTGGTACAAATTGCTTTTTGCCAGGCTAAATTTTAATGTCTCTTCTGGAAATCGACTAAACCTATTAGACAAGGGCTAAAAATGTCTGCGTTCATGAAAATAGTAAGAGAGTGGAAGTTTTACTCACAATGGGACTTACTTGAGTTTCTGGATATAGGAGAAGAGGGGAAGTAATCTTATTTTCCAGAACTTTACCTTCTTATCTCTCAACATACCTACAGCAGAAACAAACATGCACCCAAAACAGGAACAAACATCGCTCGTAGCCAGCAAGAAAATGTAAAGTTATAGTATTTAAACTGGCATGTGATATAAACAGTTTTTTAGGGAATTTAAACAGATATTAGGTTACTTAAGCATTTGCATATGCAGACAAATACACACATGCGCCGGGTGACATGGGATTGCCCTTAAACAAATACATGCAGAGACACATGCATAAACACGCAGCACTATAATAAGTCCCAGACTTGGACTAACTGAGCTGCGGCTGGAGACACAGGCTATTCATATCCTTCAGAATGAGAGGTTACAGCTCGAGTCTTTTCCCTTTTCCTTTCTACTGTAACACAGGAAGGGCATCTGTGTGTATGATTTCACTCAACGTCTGTGGCAAAAGGTTCAGCAGGCAGGTTGATTAACATAAGACTAACACTGGCTTTGTTAGCGTGGCCTCTCCCACGCACAATAAGTTCAGCGTGTGCCTCGTGAAGCACACGCTCGCTTAAACAAAAGTTAGAATTCGAGTCATCCAAATGGCTAAGAAAACACTGCGCGCGGCGCGCGGCCTCAGCATCCAACCTCTGGCCTGTCATCATTAATATGTGGGGAAACACTGGAGGGAAACCATTTGAAACCATTTGTCCCACTAAATGGTGCCCTTGTCAAGCTCCCCGGGCTTTCTGTTAAGCTTTTAAACTGCCCAGTCCAGCTGAAGGATATATTTTACTCCACTGATAATTACAGAGCAGCACAAAACATGGCACTCCACTGGCTCGAGCGGCCTCTTGTTTCTGACATGTTTTAGTCATTTAAGGATGAAAAATAATTTTCACTGCACAGAGGGAATCCCGGCTCGAGGACGCTGAACACCGGATAAACGACAATCTAAAAACACATCGTTTAATGAATGAATCTTTCTCTGTCTCCAGCCCTTAGAGAGCTGCACTGAGGCTCAATGTTGAGTGCAGCTCCCTGAAGCACTGGCCCGCTTTCCTCCTCTGTCAGTTTTTAAGCAGCATAGTATCAATTATACATATATGTGTTTTTCTATATGTATGCAACATATGCCTGATCCATATGCTGGCCCCAAGCTAAAATAGTTGCAGAGTCTCGTGTAATAAACACTTAAAAAGCTCACTACTCATTTGCTGTCTGCGATGCTGGTTTTTGGTGACTGAAATGAAGCGCAGATGATTAAAACAGAGAAGCATCAGCCTGGGTCAGGCTTAAAGCCACAGTTCAAATCTCCATATTATTTACATGCATGTATGGGGTAGTTCAAGAGCTTGGGAAATCCCCCAGTTTGTGAATTTTAGCTATTTACAGAGGTTTTGCAGGAAACTTCATAAAATTGTAAGTATTCTGTTCAGTGGTTGAATATGTTACGTTATGTTTATATAAAGTAATTTTGCTAAATTTACAATTATGGAACTAATAACTATTATGTACTAAATCATTTGCTGTTTTACATGTTTACAATTCACAATTTGATCATCAATTCTGCCCACAGAAAACAGCAGTACAAGGAATTCCCTCTACGTAACCCTAAACAGAGGACAAATAACAGATTCATCAAGTGGACAGAAAATCTCCAAATGAATGACTGAATGCGAAAATAGAATATCAACGATCACAATTTTTTTCTCTGCCAAAAAGTTTTGGCATGTAAATTTAAACTACAGACGGCGACAGCAAAACAATTGCATTAAACATAAAGAGGTCTGAAGATTTTTAGCTAAAGGTAACACAAACCAGAGAAACAGAACACCCCCCTACCCCCAGCTAGGTTAGCTCTGTTCAGAGAGAACAAGGATTGCTATATTTTATTTATTTTTACTTCACAACTGTTTTATCAAGTCGTTTTATAAAATCCCTCAAGTTGTCTTATTTCTCTGTCCTGTAAAAGCCTAATTGCCAGAATAAGACTAAGACAATAAGCTCATAGTATCAACCTCGAAGGTAGTAATTTGTCACTTATTGCTTCAAACTATTGCAGATTTTATAAAAGTAAACGTATACTTCATAACAGCTAGGTTTTATTTCCCCCCAACATGCTTACACTAGCAGTGTTACCTGAATTAGCATAAAAATGTTAGGCATGAATCTGGAGCTAGCTGGGATAAATAACTAGCTTAGCTCTGTCCAACCCTTCTATTAAGCTGTCTTACCAAATGTTTTTTGTGTCCTCGCTAGCACAACATTATTTGTGAGACTATGTCGCTGTACTTTTCTTTGTTCACAAAGAAAAAGTTCAAACAGGTTAGCTTAGCACCTGCTAAGCTAGGTTAAAGTGAATCTCATGAAGAAAGTGAAAAGGCGTACTCTAATTTTCAAATATTTTCATATTGTAGTGAAAACATTTATTTTAGTGTATTATTGTTGTTGTAGATTGCTAAATGAGCCATATGAGCAACATCCTGCTGTTGCTGAATTCAAGGTGAAACCGCAACCGGCTGTCAGTTGAAGCGGTCATGCCCTTGATTATGAATAGGCACTTTGAGCTGCTAATTGCTCTAATATGTTTACAAGTTAGCCACTCGCTGTTTTAACCTTTTAGTTGATTTTACACAACTCACTTCGCTTTTTGTGGAAAATGATAGAAAAAAAGCAAAAGCAACAACTATAACAGGCTGGGCAGTCACCTAGCACCAGCGCTACCTTCGTTTAGTCGCATCTGAGACCAATCTCAGACACAACTGAGCATGAATACGAATCATGATGTCTACAATACCTCAGCTGCACTTACTCTGCTCAATTCTCTCTGACATCCACGTTTACAATAAGTGAGATCTAAAAGGGGGACAGATGCCTAAGTTGGCTGCCTCACATGGAATTAGATTAATCAGAGCGCATATACATATGGCCCACCTTCCTCTGTCTCCCACTTTGTCTTGTTCACAGAAAGATACACAACAGCCCAGAAACCACCTGGGTTTCCATATTTCTGAATACGCGTCGATCCACCAGTGGTGGGTATCTTCGCAGTCACTGATTAACAGCCTTCTGATCATTCGGCCGCACCGTCCTAATCATTTGCAGAGTTGTCTGTATGAGCTCAACAGTTCCTAGAGGATCAGAGACTTCTGCGGCAAAACATAACTGACATCCTACTCAGTCCTGCTCCATTCAGCCTTAATTGTATCCTCATTCTTCACCTGGTAACAAGCTAACAAACCTGTGCAGATGTGGCAAGCACATCAAAGAGAGGGAGGGATGGGAGGGGGAACTTGTTTGTAAGAAAAAATGTGTGGGGGAATATGAAAGGGGAAATTTACGTTGTGTGAGTCCAAGCCAGCGCCACCTCAGGGAGAAATGCTGGAAAAATGTGATATTTTACACCTGCATCTCAGGAGGTGGGGAATAAGAGACAAGGAGGGGGAGGTGGTAATTAGAGGAGTGTGCGTGCTTGCATGCGTGCGTGTGTGTGTGTGTGTGTGTGTGTGTGTGTGTGTGTGTGTGTGTGTGTGTTCGTAAAGGATTTTTAGTATGTTTCTGGGTCTTGCCGCCGGTTCTTCTGCAGCATTCAATTTGGTATGATACATTCGATGCCAGATTATTAAAAATGCTAAACCTGGTTACGAATGCTAAAAAAAAGTGTTGAAATTTTAAACAAATATGCTAATATTGTTAGAGTGATAAATAGCTGGAAAGCCCTGTTTAATGAATAATGCTATTGGCTCTAATTCCTCATTAAGGCCCTAAAGAGGAGAGTGAAGAGAGAAAATACATGTATTGTTGTGATTTTCCCCCCTTTTCTCCCCCCCAAATTAAACTCAGAAGGCATAAGATACCAGCACCTTCCCAAATTAAGTTCATTCAAATTACTTGGTTACACAGCTGGTGTGCATTCTGCTGTGTCTTGTGAAACCAATTAATGTGAGGCTTCAGTCTTGATAAGATAATTAAAGGAGGGCTAGAATAGAGATGGAGGAGTTTGAAGTGTTCAGGCTCGTGGTACAAAATAAGACTTCCTTTAAACTGCAAAAAAACTTTGCGTTGAATCAAGTTAAAATAAAATCTGTGTGATTTGTTCTGCCATTTCCAAAGCAAACTGATCTGATCTGGGGGCTTAAGTCAAATTATGCTCATACTGAAGGGTCTGCGTTATTTCTAGATTATTATTTGCTTAAACTAACAAGTGAGATTATCTCACTCCAGTGTTTTGACTTTGTATATTTTTAGAGCTCACTTAAAGAAGTTAAAACTGCATGCTGTAAATCTGGCTTCCTGTGCTAGGCGTTATGCATTCCCTGGGAACGTTTGAATTAAAATATATGTTTAGATTTTGATTTTGTTCTATAAGAAGAGATGCTTTTTTGTATTAACTGTAGCAAACAACTGTCAAAACATCCTGTAAAACACAGTAATGTGGCATTCTTTCTAAATACAGCTGAATCCCGTGACCTCTCGGGCCTTTGATGAAATCTTACAATCTTAATGTTTACACCCCGTTTTTCTTGGATTTGACCTTCATTCTCTTGCTCGCGTCTGCTCGTTTGAGCAAACTTGCAGAGCACAGCGTAGCCGCCAGAACACGGTCAATATAAAGACATTTATAACTGTAGTAACTTGATGAAGCAATCGCAACATTTTAATTTGGCGGTGCCGTGTGTGCTGGTAGTTTCAGTTGTGCTGCACTCAGACTTTGAGCGTTGCAGATGTTCGATATGGTTTCCAATTCTTAACAAAGGTGTTTTGTAAGTTAAAGAAGAAGCAGAATGAAAGGAAAATCCCCAACAATCAGACAGTCTGCTATGAGGAAGCAGTTGGTGATGATGAGAAGGAAGAACTCCCTTTTAAAAGGAAGAGGCCTCCAGCAGAACCAGTCTTATGTAAGCATCTGCTGCAACCGGTTGGTGGGTAAGAGAAAATAGTAAAGAAAAAAGTGGGGCGCACACGTCTGTGAGTGCAGTGGTTCGCTTTTTTCTCTCCAAGAACAACGTTAAGGTTTAACTAGCAATAGTACACCACGACTGAGTTAATGAGTTAATCGCTTCTGTCCAGCTTCAATATTCTGAAAACGCAACCAACAGGCAAGCAGACTGTGACCCTGTTCAGCATAAGAAATGTTGTTTTTAAAGATTCAGATCTGTGTATTGCACTCAGCAGTGATATAAGGATTTTAGAGTAGTAATACTGAAATGGATAAATATGAAAATACTCCATTTAGAATCCATTCATTGTATTTACTATACAGAGCACTGTCCAGCCTGTAAAACCATTTGTCATGTGTTTCGTGGGTCTATTAAAAATGTTAAAAATGTTTTGAGGCCCAAAAAAACCTGCCCTGTTGATGTCATAATGATGTCACTAGAGTTTTCTTGACATTTCAGTCTATTAAACGCACACACACAAAAAATATATTACCAGTATAGGAATGGAGTCTGAGCTGAGTGAGCTTAACTTAATGAAAATGTAATGAAATTGAATGAAAGATGTTACTGAGCTGCACTGAGATCTGGGATTCAGCTTTTCTCAGTTTGAATTATTAGCTTAGCTAAGCTTAGCTCAGACTACCCCAACTGTAACCAGTAAACCACTGGAGTATTACTGTACGTTTTATCTTTTGAGACACTCTTTCATGAACTTGTGATTCGTTTAGCACAACAAGGATCTCATATTAAGGAAGCTGAATGACTGAGGTGATTACAGCTCATGATATATCCACTGTAGCCCCTCGGCTGCACACTGTTAAAATCACAACAGCTTAAAAACCAGTCAACCTGACAAGCACATCTGAGCTCACTATCCTAATATTTATGCTGTTTGACTGTATATCAGAGTTTCCATCTTTAAACTACAGCAAAAGCTTACACGCTGCATAAGCTATTATAGCCTCCTTGAAGCCTTATTTATTTTTCCAGAGAAACGTCAAGGCCAGGACAAACATAATAGCATAATATTCTGTATACAGTGAGGGATGACATCACTGGCAACAACGGCCAAGATGGAGATCACACAAGACTGGAAAACCGCTTGTCTGATCATCATGTGGTGGGCTGTACACACACACACACACACACACACACACACACACACACACACACACACACACACACACACACACACACACACAGAGGCAGAGTGCAGGATACAGTTACCACAGCTATTTACACAGCACTCTGTGATTCTATTTTTTTAATCTTTAGTTCCTGCACTATATATCACACATATGTTTACCACGGAGAATCCAGTGTAAACTTTGCATTTGGCTATATATTTAAAACACCGCTTGCATTGCTTATTGTAAAGGTCCAGTCTGTCTGTAAATCATCATTTTGGACCCATAATGTCATCTTTGTATTTCCTGATGATGGCTCAAACTTTCTGTTTACTTTCTGGCACATAGGGAAAAATCCATAACCTATAAATCCTCGTGTATATATAGATCATCTGTAAAGAAAAGTAGTGTTTGAATATTTATTTCTGTGGCAGAGATGGCGAACTGGCCTCGGGGAAAGCTAACAGGAGTCTGACACTGATTGACAGATGCCTCCAGTGCCGTCTGACTAAACTAACATGCAGTTGAAGTGTTTGGCACAAAATCAACACAACACACATGTAGCCTTTGAAAATAAATAAATAAGGTTTTTTTTAAAAGAGGTGAGTTGCTGCTATAAGTAGGAGAATAACAAGTGGGGATAATCCCATGTGAGGCCTGTCCTGAATTCTGTATCATTTTTACTGATGAGCTTCTTGGGCAGCTGCCATGTCAGCAAGGATGCTCGTAAACAAATAATTATTCATACTAATAATCTTCCATATTCATGTGCAAATAAGATCCATTCCTGGGTATCTAAGCAGCTTCAAGGTTGTATGTGGGAGGTTCCCCTAACTATTGCCTGACTTGAAACATTTCATGCCAAAAAAGAATTTCTAAGGGTCAAGGATGTGTGAGCTCTCTTTCATAGTTTTGCATAAAACAGACTTTCTTATTACGAATTTTAAAACCTAAAAGCACTTCATTCAAATGCATGCTTTCGCAAGCCTCACAGAGAGTAGATTTCTCATTTAACATGTTAAAAGAAAATCGGGATACAACATGAAAAACGTCTTCTGTTTGAAAGGACTCAACTCAAACGAAAAAGGAAACCTTGGATAAAATCTCATAAGCTGATGGCTGCTTAAAGAACCCTCAAACAAACTTCAGTTAGAGTTCGAGAAGCATTACAAACGTTTGCTTTGTGATACCACTGGATTTCCCTGAATGGGACAAATAAACCACCTGCGTAATTAAGGATTTAGTCCCTGCGTAATTACGCACAAATCAAACGGCCACTTAATAGAACGCTGGCGCAAACAATAAGTTCCATCCTGCTACAGCCAACTTTCCGGACTCTGGTAAACCTTGCCTTTAGGTGGGATTTGTGCTCTGGGATCCTTCCCACATGCAACAGTGAAACCTTTACATACTGTATGACACCTCTATTATGGATGTTGTGCCATAGGTCCTATCATATATGCGACTATAAATAGACTAGCCCAGTCTGTGAGAGGAGTCATGTTCTCCGTGTGGATGAAACGGCAGAAGGCAGTAGGCATCGAGCGGTGAACTGAGAGGGCTGGACACTAATTTGGCCAGCAGGTTGGAAAGAAAAAAATTGGCAACAACGGATGTAACTATTAAAATAAGGTGGATTAGGTTTTCCTTCCAGCAACATCCTTTCAAATGTACATGCAGCTCCTTAGCAAGGAAATCTCCCCACATTTTTAAAATAACCATAAGATCCTAATGAGTCTAACTGTGACAGCAAATAGATTCAGGTAGGTGGAGGGACTTGGCACATACTTTGTGACTGTTACACATTAGCCACACCAAATACACACACACACAAACACACACACACGCACACGAAATATAAGATAGCTCACTAAACTATAAAGCACAGAATCATTAAAACGATGAACAAGTACAATGATTGTCAAAGCTGACTGCATAAATGAGCAAATTATTGGTTTACATAGCACGTACCATTGTGGTGTGAGGATATGTGCCAACACTCTCAAAGACCCATTTTCCACTCTGAAAAGTTCGGCTTCCAAAAAAAAAAAAAAAGTGAGTGGGAGAGAGAAAACTGCTCGGTTTCTTGCTCAGCTGGGCCTTATACCGGAAGCAAAAGAGCCCTAATGCACGGCCTGCTGCCCGGTAAACATTTTTTGGGATAAAGTGAAGTCAGCTCTTCTCAGTCCAGGCAAACGGGACGCAGAGTCGTACAATCCAAGCGGTCTGCCTCCCGACTTCTTCATGCAAGGTGTTTATGTGCGGCTTTCAACTCGTGATAGTTCCACGAAACTCGAAGCTGCGCGCGCCTGGCTGCACTCTCAGTCCCGGTGCCGTCACGTCCCCGCACCGAGTCCCCGAGCTACGTGCCACCGAGACGCTGCACCGTCAGAGCCCGAGTGTCGGAGCAGAAGCCTGGCCGCGCACCGACAGTAAGTAGCCTGCCCTGCGCTCTCAGCTCACGCGCTCACCAAATCAGCTGTTGCTCCTCCAGACTGGACGCCGCGCGCTCTCTCCCCTTGCATGCTCAGGCGTCGCCGATCACGTAAAAGTGCAGTCCGCTTCTCGGTTCTTCTCCACCTGTCCTCCACCCCCTTCTCAGTGTCGGCACAAAGTTGCTGGGAGGACCGCGTCTGAAACAAAACTCAGCATGTGGCAGCGCGAGTGTCGCAACATCCGCGAGCGGGACCTCAGCGGACGGTCTGTGATCTGAAACCCAAAAACAAAGAGGTGAAACGTGCGTCTGTCTCCCCGTGTGTGTGAGTGTGTGAGTGTGTGACACCGAGCAGCTATAATTAAGTAAACAAAATGCGAGAAGTGAGCGCACAGCGTGGCCGCCTGCACGCACCACTGAGGACGAAACGGTGTCCTGCGGCCGCGGCCGAAGAAGCGGAGCGGAGGGCTGGTGAATTATTAATAACCAGAGCGGTTCACAGTCTGTCGTGTTCAGTGAGTAACCAGGGCGGCAGCTGGGGGTTTAGAGGAATTAAATACGGGCTCAGAGTAAACCGTGGACGCAGGGGATTAGTAGCTCTCACCGGCAACAGTGTAGGGGCAGCTCGGGGCCGATAGAGAGGGCGGGAGGGAGCGGAGGTTCTAGGGAGCAGTGGGGGAGACGGCGGAGGTGGTAGGGTAGGACATTTTTTTGAGTGCAAATTTAACAGTCAGCCTAAATGGATGGGTGGTATGTACGTGAACACGTGTCACTTAAAATTTAAATATGAGCTCCAGCTGCTGAACAAAAACCTACAATCTAAACAAAAATCTCCATCTATAGCTGATATTTTTATGTAGTACATTTTCATTAATCGAAATTACCCCACGCCCCCACGTAAAAGACTCCCATTTGTTGACACTTGACTAACCATAGAAGAGTTTCTCTGAGGATAAAAAAAATAAAGTGATAATAAACTGAAGTGGGCTATAACCCTCTGCTGCCCGCATATGTTTCCATTTTAATGGCGAAACAATTCAAATAAAAATAAAGGCAAGTTTACAAAAAAGTCTCTATTTAAAATGTTTAACCGGATTTAAGACATTTTAACACCTTAGTTTTTGCACAGCCAGCACCGCAGGCTGACCGACTGCAAGCCCCAATAGTGCAAAGCTATAAACCAAATCCTTAAAAAACAGAAGAAAAAAGAGAATAAACTCCTCCTCTCTCTCCTCTGTGTCTTGATCCGTTCAAATTACTGATGTGTTTATTTCGCCATGAATGCAGCGAACAGTTTGAGCACAAGTTTGAAACAGTGAGGTTAGAGAGAGAGCGCAGGTGCATGACTTCTGGCTGGAGCCTTCACCACTTCCCCCCAAGTTTTTATTCCCCACAAATATCCAAATCAGCCCAGGAAATTCAGATGGAATTTCAGCAGACATCTTTTTTAAAAACACGACAATAGAGGTCTTTTTAATGAATAAATTACCAAGAGCGACTTTTAACCTTTTATGGGTAAAACGCAGTATTTTACGGAAGTGCGCAACTGCAGACGTCACGCATCGAAATGATGAGCAGAGACAAAAGTGGATTCCTCCTGATGCCACCGTGTTGGTTCAACTTCAGCACTTCACACACAGTTAAAGAAAAAGCTGCCGGGCTCAGAGTGGCTGTGGTTCGTTGCGTGGAGATTTCAGTGACAGAGAAGTCCCTTCGTGTTTGAGTTCACACTAAATGTAAAGCTGCATTCATTCTTTTCCCATAAAAAATGTGATTTTTTTATGGGAAAAACCAAAACTCTGGGTTATGAAAAATGATAAGGCTGCTTTTTTAAAATAAAATAACGTCTCTCTAAATCTACACTGAAACTAAAGACACACACACACACACACACACACACACACACACACACACACACACACACACACACACACACACACACACACACACACACACACATTCTCTATTTCTTTTTCTTTAAGTTTTCATTTCTGGATGACAGTTAGGGTCATTTCTGAATCCTAATTGTGCACAAATTCACTGTCACTTGATGCAAAATCAGACATGTACGGACTGTCTCAGTGTCTCCAATCACCACAATCTGGGATTCAGTTTTAGAGAAACAGCATTAAATAACTGTCGGTTCTGTGATCTGTTTCAAAAGAAACAAAATGAAATGACATTATTTAAAATTCTAAAGGAAAAATTACAACCTGAATACACAAAAGAAACATTTACACAGCAAATAACCAGTTTAGGCCTCGAGTTTCTTTTATTTCATTTGTTTAAAAAAAAAAGAAGCTGATATACATATAATTAGACCATCTAAAAATATATTCAATGTTTGACCAGAATTATTTTATGGACAATATGATCTGAAATATGTAATTTAAAAAAGATCCACAAAAGCATCAATAATGTGTAAAAATATGAATCTGTTCATTTAAATTGCAAGTAACACATTCAAAGCATGAAATGATGTCAAATCGCCTGATTTATTATCAATTTACATTTTTAATTTGAATGATTAATTATTTAGTTTTTTTCTTTTAAAAAGTGTGTGTGTGTGTGTGTGTGTGTGTGTGTGTGTGTGTGTATATTTAATCCATCATTTCAGAGGTGTTGGATGCTGGGCCGGCTGGGAGCTTTATAAAAGAATGAGAACAAAACATTTTCGAAATGTAAACCAAACTCTGGGTTATTTACAAAAAGGCTAAAGGCAAAAATGTGCACCCGATTGCTTTGTTTTTGTAGCTACAAACACACCAGCGATGGTTAGTTGAGATGGCACTATTTAGTGCAGCAAAGCTCGGATATAAGCGAGGCCACAGCACAAAAACCTGTAGATGCGCATTTTTGCACGCATCTGTGCTTTGTGGGAAAAAGCTCACCTCTCATTTAAAAAGTAAGAAATCCCTGTCTTTATCTATACATTGCCATATAGTGTCTCCACATCTGACCCGAATGCCCCCCTCATCATTCTGCACCGGTCCAAACCGGCAGCTTGCGCTAATTTGCTGGGGGGGGGGGAGGGGAGCCCTTTCTTTGGTCTCTCTCCTCTCCCGGTCCTATATACCGTCTCTCCCAGGAGGTTTACACAAACTGTGAGACAAAAGTTCCACTAGGCAACGGCCTGTCGAGGAATGCTGACCTTGGCACGGCCAGTGGAATCGGCTCGGCCGTTCTTTCGTTTCTTATGGTTTGAATTAAGGCGCATTTGACCTGCGCCAACTTCCAAGAGTTGCCACGGAGGCGAACGGGAGCCGTGCTATAGGTTACTGCTGTTGCTGCCTGCGCTGAATGAAATGATAAAAAAAGAGAGGGAGAGAAAGGGGGCTGCAGACCGACGATGAAACGCGAGAGGACAGAAAATAGTGACCAACTAACAATCGCTTTAGCAGGAATGTAGGAGCAGGCCGTTAAAAACAAACAGAAAGATGTTAGAACGGACAAACTACAGCGATGAAATCAAGTAAAAGATATACAGTAAAGCAATCTGACGAGCAGGAATGGATCTGAATCTTTTACACGAGTGAAAGTGGCGTCATCAGAAACAAAAGGGAAATTCTGAAGGAACAGCTGGAAAAATAATGACCCCTATTCACACTGTTAGGCTTACTACATTATTAATATCAGTGCATTAAAGTGCGTTTTAGAGACATTTTACTGATGAGTAATGTAGTCTGGAGCACTTATTATCAATATCTCTAAAAAGGTGGTCAACCCCCCCGAAAACACAAATGACAACCAAACGTGGACAATTAAAATGTACAACCCCTTTAAATGCTTTTATTATGTAAAATAAAAGCACCACAACACCACCTTTGATTATTCCACAGCTCTTAAATGTTCTGGAACAGCAAAAGGAGAGCAGTGGCAGCTTTGCACCGAGGAACATCCTAAGTTAGATCAGGTACACTCCCTGTTGGGCATCACAAAACATTACAATCCTGCTTTTTCACAGGGTCACTCCCTGTGATAAGCAGGATTGTAATGTTTTAGGCATTAAATTACTTCATGCCTAAACGCTTGAGTAAAGAGATTATAGTGGGGAAAAGGGACAGAGAGTGTCACCTGCGTGTTTAAGCAGAGAAAATGAACAAATACTGCAGAGATAGACAGAAAAACACTGATTGAAATTTAAAAGAATTTTAATTTAGTTTTTCGTGTGTTTTTCATGTCAAAGTAAAGTATTTCTATATCTACTGATTTACCGCTGATTAATCTGTAAATCCCTGAGGACCTTTGATATACAGGTTAAGGTTTAATTAGCTGAGTTTAGAAATTTGCCTAATTACCACAAGACCCTTGAGGAAGTGTGTTATTGGCCCTTTGTACATAAAAGCAGAAAAGCAGCGTTAAGCAGGATTAGACTAAAGTCACCTTACTTTAAATATATAAAAGGGTTTGCTGATTGGAGAAGAAAGTCGGTTTTTAATTGTTTGGGTTATTTATAGTAAATCTTACAGGTAGGAGAAACACTCACTACACTTTAAAGGGACACCACATTTATGGAGACGTCTGTGCTCTGAACCGGCATCAGTCTGATCGGTTTTCTCCCATGCAACCAAATTATGAGGTAGTGTGATTGCTGAGCACACACACAGCGCACACGTGCAGATGTTCGTCCACCTGCAGGCTGAGCGCTGAAATGAACAACACCTGAAGAAAGATGACTGGTGGAGCCTCAGGCCCTGCGAACCACTGATTGGCTCAGCTGAGGATCTGGCTAACTGATGCTGAGCGGCGTCTGTGTATGCGCGTGTGTCTTTGTGTGTGTGTGTGTTTATGTGTATCTCTCGGGGTATCCCACCCTCCCCTGCCTTATCAGGCAGCTCCACGGCACCGCTAGAGGAGTGCTGCTCTCAGGAGGGCAGGGCTACCAGCACACCGCTTATCTTCTACCAGCAAGGAGGGTTTATAGGTCTGATTAACTCACTGTTTGCATGTGTTGTGTGTATGAGAAAAGAAGAGAGAGGGAGCTGCGGTGTATAATTGTGTATTGTGGACTAATTGTGCGTGGGTGATTGTGTGTGCGGCGGCTGTGTAAGTGGATGCCAGTGTGAGGAAGGTGTACACTCAAGAGCTGTGAAGCACTCGGTGAGCCACCCAGCGAGCACACATCCAAACCTCTTGTTCCCTCAGTGAGTCGTAGCTCTCCAGAGGCTCACCCAGGAAGTAACACAATGGCTCTGTCGGGGTTGAGTGTTGTGTGTAGGCGACAACATACAGCACCCGACAAAAGCCCGTCACGCTTCAATGGATTATGAGGCTAGAAACCCAAAAAACAACAAAGACCAAAACAAAACTGTCTTGTTGGTCAAATTTATATCAAATAGCAACCATCTCGATGATCCTAGCGCACATTCTAGCAGTGGTATGATTTGCTCTGGTTTAGGTCCAGTCGATACCGCCAGAGAGAGTGGATGTCTGAGAGGGGGAGGAGGTGGCAAAGGGAAGAGTGTGCCCCCTTCCCAAACCTCACACAGGAGAAAGCATGGCTGCTATAATCTCTTTTCCTGGCTCTCAATGAAAGAGAAAGGAAGCGGCACTGGAGCCTGGGTCCGCTTAGATCCGCTGCCCCTCACCCCAACACTATCTCCTATCTGCTATCTCA